TTCTGCGCGATTATCACAAAGAGTCAGCATATGATCTCACTTTGTTGCGAACTGCACCAAAGTAAACAGAAATGGAGTATTAATTAGGTTGAAATATACGCCATAATTTGTGTTTATCTGATATCAGGTCAACTATACCTCTTCATAAAAGTGAAGATATAGAAAAAACTGTAATTACTTATAATAAAACGCTCAGTTTGTTGCATGCACGTGCGTGTTCCTCTATCGCCAAGATATTCATTTGCCCTAAGAAAGTTCAAAGAGCAGTTATCAAGCGTTATGGGATGGGCTCCGCGGTAGCGATGAATGGCCTATGCGCCTTTCTCCTTCAAGATGCGTTGAAAGGTAATCAGCCCTTTAATTTTCAGCGGAGGTGCATATGCGATTTTTAGACTAAGTAAAAGCACTATACTAAAGAGTTGAATTAGTGTTTTCAGCTGAATTTAGCTTCCTGCTAAAGTGCCAGTGCAGACCTCTCCGAAGGAAAGTTGGAACTACTAAAATGCCAATCTGGTGGAAGAAGAACCCAAATTTCCAGGAACTACACTAACTAGTACACACTTCCATCCCAGAATTCACCAACAACGCTGTGCTCAAATCAATCCGTGCGACGTATCCGGAGAAAACTTGTCACCTAAGCTTGTGTGACAAATTGTGGGTGTGTGACACTATTCTGTGGGTACAGACGAGCTGCGCAAGTTGACGCGTTCTTCCCTAAAGTGCGTAGAGACTTTCATTGTTTTTTACAAGTTTTATGTTAGGAGGTTTTGGCTTATTCTCTATCTCTTCAGAACAATCAGGGCTTATTTTAGCTCAAAAAAGCACAAGAACATTTAAACTTTATGAGTTCCTGACCTTCTGTTTGATGGGATATGGATCCTTCACTTCTGGCGAGCACGTCGTCCTTCGGTGAAGCAATATCAGATCGTTTGACTGTCAGTTGTCCTCCCGAACCTTGTGCATCCTCGGATGCAGAACTACCCGATGATGCTCCGATTCTGAGTAACGAAGTTGAGCCACTGCCTGATTACAACCATGTTATACATACTGAACTACCTCCGTTCAAAAAGGAGCGACCAGAAAGACCGGGAGAGGTGAGCCAGTTATAGGCAGAATTACAAAGAGGAGTTTTTCCTTGTAGATCGAAGATGAAAGATCTACTTCAAGTCGTGCATGCAGTACCTTACTGGAAGAAGGAGCAGAGGATGAAGAAGAAGCGATCCCTGAAACCGATCGTTTTGGTTTTTTTGTTGAACCAGACGCGATGGGACCAAGGTTGTTTCGTTCATACTTTCAGACAGTTTATTCAATAATGCATATTTCTATTCCAGTTTTGAGCCGACCATTGATGTGGCCAAATTAAGAAGTCGTGAAATGAAATGGGTGCATATGATGGATAATTGGCGTTATTTCATGGATGAAAAGTAACTTTCAATCGTTTCCTCTCACTGCCTTATCACGTCTTTGCTGTTCAGAAGTAGGAGATATACTTCTCACGCGCAAATATACTCTTAAACCCTGATATTTCTGT